CATTCTATTATTGTCGGGTAATAAGAATTTTAGAAAACATTAGTACTGTAATCACCTCAAATTGTTTAAAAAAATTATATTAAGCACGTGACATTTATATTTTCTTACAACATAACGGCATTTTGTATTGGTTGGATTAAGATTACAAATCAATGCGGCGCGAATTATCTATCAACAAAGAACTATCATTTTAAAATCGTATTTAGAATCTCCTAAATATAATCTCAGGTAAATAAATTTTTATTAGTCGTAATTTGATTTGAAAGGAAAAATATCTTTTCTAATTAATTAATTTTTTTCTGATCCTTAAAGTTTAAGCTTTAGCAATAATGAAAGAAACTATTTCTATCAAGAAAAAACATTTGATAGGTACATGAATATTTACTCTGGTTATTTGATTTTCAAAATTGCACACAAATCAAATATGTAAAAAAAAATTAAATAAAATTTTTTTTTTTTTCTCAAAAGAAAATGTAGAATCCAAATCGACATTTAAGAAAATTTTACACTTCTTCTCTCCCTAATATATTTCCGGATTAGCACTTCACGAAATAATCCAAATTAAATAAATGCTTGGTTCACCGGACGGTTCGAACAAAAACATTCTGGAGGATATCACCTATTTCATATAATGGTAAGATGTCAACAATTGTCCGTATGTTAGCTTGAAATTCAATTCGATTTCGTGATATTATTTCTTCACATGAAGGACCGACCATCCTTACTTTCAAGCCATCCAAGGATGGATATTCGTCGAGAGTATCTTGAATGTGATGAATTTTTTACTGTATAACTTAATCGACATGAAAGTGGAAATGTGACGAACTTCATATTTATAATTAAATCTTTGATGGAACCATATCAACATTAAAAAGGAGGAGAACCTCAATTTACGAGGAGGGGGAACGCCATGAAATTGTTTCATTTTCTTTCAATTGGCCCTTACTTATTTAAAATTATTCCTGTGTTGAGGAAGAATTTTTGAAATTTCTGATTTCCGAACATTTATATAATAAAAAAAATATTTTCATGTATATTAAAATATTGATGAACTGTAATTCTGGGTTTTTAAGATACATTATTCTACATTCGGTACAATGATTTAGTTTAGCTGTGTTTGATAAACTATTCTAAGATGTAGATTTCTTTGGTTAGTTCAAAGCCGATCAATGATGATCTGCGAAATGTTTCCTTATTAAGCATAGGTAAAGTTTTCTCAATATTATACATATATTAATATAGAAATTCAAATTTGTTATATATGGTGATTATAAAATAAAACACCTAATACTTTAATAAAGTTTCTCATTTTATTGTTAATTACAACTTTTTTCAAATTGGATCCAAGTTTTTATTAGAAGAAACTTAAATAATACCTATATATTACTTAAAGATTATATATTAATTTATTTATATTTTTTAAAGATTATAAAACTTAATAAAACTTTAGATTTTTCTTAAAATAAAATTTTTTGGGATTTATGTAAATAAGATTAAAGAATAATATAGATGATCCTTTTTCTTAATTCTGTTATAAAACTTTCAAAATTAGCACTATTAAATCAATTTTTTATAAAAATTAATAATAGCCAATTAGAATTCTTAATGAAATTTAATTATACATTTTATATGGAATTATAACTAAAAATTTTCTTCTAATAACAGATTTATTTACTTTATCAAGCATCTGAGATCAATTAACAAAAGAAAAATTATATTTGATCAGCTTTTTTAGTGTAATATAAAGTAAATATTATTCTTAAAATGATAGAAGAATTAATTAAAAATATATTTAATATAGGAAAAGTATTATATTAAGAATAAAATCTTATAAATATTTTAACATCTAAAATCTTGACAATTTAGAATTCTGATTTCAAAATCTAATATATTTAAAATTTTGATAGTTCATAATTTAAATGATATTTAATCTTAAAATATATATAATTTCAATTATTCTAATCTAAATTTTTAAAAAAAAAAAAATTGTGATATATTATCAATACATTTTAAATGTGATAAATAATATATTAATTAGATTTAAATTTAAGATTAAATTAGAATTAGAATTAGAAAAAAGGTTAAAATTAAAATATTTTTTATTATGTTAATTTAAGATTAGTTTTATATAATAAATAAATTTTCTATTTTTTTTTAGGGTTTTTTCATGCTAGATTTTTTAGGATTAATATTATAATATTTTATTTTTGATTTATATTAAATTATCAAATAAAGATGGTATTGCAACTGGTTGCAACTAGTAACAAATAAGCATCTTAGGGTTGCAACTAGTTGCAGCGCCATTTTTATTATCAAATCTTATTTTAATTTATATTTAATTGTTAAGATCATATAATTTTAGGAATTTTAACAGTTAAATTATATACATTTTAGAATTAAAATCCATTAGGATTATAAATTATTAGGATTTTTAGATATCAAAATTTTGAAGTTAAAATTTTGAACTTTTAGAATTTTAGATATTAGGTTACTATTATAAATCTATTAAGAATTTATATTAATTGTATTTAGTTAATAACTTTGATTTTAAAATACAATGAAAGAAAATATTATCTTTAATTTTTTTAATAATAAAGATAAATAAAAAAATATTGATTCAGACTTTTAAAAGGTAAATTAAATTTAATTTTAATTTAATATTCATAAAGATAAATCTAAATTCAATAGAAAAGAGATTATCATATTATTTAAGACTGTTCTGTAATTTCTAAAATCTCTTTTAAATTCTTTTTGATCAAACAATCCAATTTGATCATCTATTAAAAATCAAGTACAAAGATTTATGTTAAAATAAGATCATATTTTAGTATTGAATAATTAAAAAGTAACCTTTATCTAATCTATCTATTTTACAAAAAAAAAACCAAAATAAATGTACTATAATAAGAGTAAGATTACTTTTTTTGATCTATACCAAAATTTTTATCATAATGATTATTCTTATTTATGAGGTAGGAAATATATTTTTTAGTATTTTTTAACTTTTAAAAACTAGTTTAAGAATATCAAGAATAACTCTATCATAAGCTTTGGATTGAACTTGTAAAAGGATACATAAGCCTTTCTTATATTCAATAATGTCATCAATAATCATATTATAACTTTAATTGGATTTTAGTTAAGCCACCTGGTAGTCTATTAAAATTATTACCTTTGAAAATTTGATATTTACTAGAATTTTTAAAAGACAATTGATGATAATAGACTTCCTGTAATTTCAAGTAAGGTAATAATCACCAGGTGATTTGCAACGATGTCAGAAAAAAAGTGACGAAAGTTTGTAATGAGGGTGAAAGCGTGTGCATATGATGAAATTGTGTAAAAATCTAGATGATACTAGTTTTCAGGTTTGAATGATAAGTGTGCAAAATTTCAGATCGTGGTGAAAAAAAATTTTTAACAGGGGATCCCAGGTAGAGCTCAAGGATTCGTGCATTTGCCATAATTTTGCATTTATGCATTATAATTTCGCATAACATATACATCGTACTTTTAAGGCAATTTATTATTTTTTTGCATTTTTCTCGTGATATCTTTTTTTTTAAAAAAATGCATTTGCATTTAAAATGCACATTCATTTTTGCATTGCATCAAATCCGTGAGGGTACATTTTGCTAGCATATGATCAAATAAATAAAACAAACTAGTTTATATTAATTTAAAATAAAAAATAAACTGTCTTGATATCTGATAAAATAAATATTTAAGTAATTATTCAAAATGTAGTAATTTATATGGGAATACAAAGAAAGAGCATCAAGGTAAAAAGAAATTCATTTTTATACATAGTTAAACAAGAATTCTAGCAGAAAACTGGATAAATATTGGCAATACTGCGTTAACGCCAAGATAGAATCAGGGCCTAAGTTTGATCAGGAGAAATCAGTTATGACGTAAAACTGGAGAAATCGCGCTGGCGTAGAACTGGAGAAATTGCATTAGTGTAAAAAGGAATGGAGAAATTTACATCGGCGTAGAACTGGAGAAATTATATTGAGCAAAGAACTATGATGAATGGATGCGCAGTCATTTCTGACGCTTCTAATGATTTAGACAGCATTCGGTATTAATAATGATATTTAGTTTATCGATTTATTTATATTATTAAATTTGGTTAATGTTGCAACGTCTTGAAATTCAAAACCTATTCTCAAGCAAAAAAGTAAACTTTCTTTATCAATTAATAATTTTATTTAAATATTATTTAATAAATTTTGTATTGTATAATAATCGTATACATTAAGAAATTATTTAGATGTCGACCCTGTCATTGATTGACAAAACTAAATCAAAGCAAGGTTGTATTAAAAGTCTCCTCCTAATTTCATAAAATGTTAGTAGCAGAAAGTAAATTATTTCGTTCAGAATTGAGTATAATCTCAATCTGTTCTCTTAAAAATAAGTAATAATAATAATGCACACAGGAATATAATTATTAACTTAATTTCTTCACTTTATCTATGCAAAGGATAGAAAAGATTTGACTGAACTACTTTGATCAATAATCCATAAGAAAAATTGAATCTTTTCCAAAGAAAAAATTTCCTGATACTTATATTCTCTCGTAATATCGATCATAACAACTGAAGCTGTATAGCATCTAAGCAAGGATCCAAAATTTGATAAACTATAAGATAAAAAAATGGTCAATATTTCAAATGACATGAAAGTTAATTTTAAAATGTTGAAAGTATTTTATTACTTATATGATTAGAAAATCTTCACTTTTGAGATAGAACATCCACAAGAAAATGCCCAATGCATTAACACAGCGGCACCTCAAGTTATAAATTATACGCGGAAAATAATTCAATATTCCCACTTCACGTTCAATTGTCATTATGGAAGGTTCAATATAACGGTATGCCTAAACCATGCGACCTTGTTAATAAATAATTGATTAATTTTATAAAAATTAATTCTTTGAAACGCAAACCTTCTAAATTAAAAGGCCTAAATAGAAATAAATTCCTTTGTTCCTAACTGCTTGATTTTGATGGACGCGTAATTTCATAGTCATATTCTATATAAAAGAAAATTCACCAATAATATTTGAACATGTGGTTGCACCGATATTATAAATTACCTCCTTTTTTTTTCAATTCTAATTCTCTACTACGTTCAAATTCAACCCTTCTATTTATTACCTTTTTTGAATTTCCTTCAACTCTTTCAACATTGTACTGCTGTTTAAGTGAATAAATATTTATCGTAGCTCAAACAATG